GAAACAGGCTCCAGGCTCTGAGCCATCAGCCCAGAGCCTGACACGGGGCTCAAACTCACGGACCGCGAGATCGTGACCTGGCTGAAGTCGGACACTTAACCAACTGCGCCACCCAGGCGCCCCTGTTTTTTTGTTTTTTTTTAATAGAAGTACAACTGATATCCAGTATTGTATTCGTTTCAGGTTACAACACAGTGATTCAACATTTATACGTCTTATGAAATGCACACCGTGATGAGTGGTTGCAACCTGCCACCACAGAAAGCGATTACAATATTACTGACTAGATTCCCCAGGCTGTACTTTTCATCTCCAGGACTTTTTTGATTAATAACTGGAAGTTTGTGCCTCTTAATCCCTTTCACCTCTGGCAGCCCAGTTTATTCCCTGTATTGATGAGTCTATTGGTCTTGTTCTGTTTGTTCATTTGCTTTGTTTTTTAGATTCTGCGTGTAAATGAAATTACATGGTATATGTCTCTTTCTGACTTATTTCACTTAGTGCCGTACCCTCTGGGTGTTACCCATGTTGTTGTGATTGGAAAGATTTCATTATCTTTTGTGGTTGAGTAATGTACTTTGTGTACACAATGGGACATCTTCTTTATCCATTCGTCTATCAATGGACACTTAGGTTGCTTCCGTATCTTAGCTATTGTAAATAGTGCTGCAATGAACAATGGAGGGCATATATCTTTTTGAATTAGTGTTTTCATTTTGGGGGAGTAAATACCCAATAGTGGAATTGCTGGGTCGTTCAGAACTATTAAAATAGTTCTATTTTTAATTTTTTGAGGAATTGCCATACTGTTTTCCACAGTGGCTGCACCAATTTACATTCCCACCAATAGCACATGGGTTCTCTTTTCTCCACATCCTCACCAACATTTGTTTTTTCTTGTCTTTGTGATGATAGCCATTCTGACAGGTGCGAGATGATACTTCGTTGTTGTATTGATCTGCATTTCACTAATGATGAGTGATATTGAGCATATTTTCATGTGCCCATCAGCCATCTGTATGTCTTCTTTGGAAAAGGTGTCTATTTAGTTTCTCTACCCTTTTTAAAATCAGATTGCTTTTTTTTAAATGACTTCTTATATTTTGGGGGATATTAACTACTTATCAGATACATCATTTGCAAATATTTTCTCCCATTTAGTAGATGTGGATTTTTTCATTTTGGTGATGGTTTACTTTGCTGTGCAAAAGATTTTATTCTGATGTAGTCCCAGTTGTTTATTTTTGCTTTTGTTGTCCTTGCCCCGGGAGACAGACCCTCCCAAATATTGCTAAGACCCATGTCTAGGAGTTTACTGCCTATGTTTTCTTTTAGGGGTTTTATGGCTTCAGGTATCACATTTAGGGCTTTAATCCATTTTGAGTTTATTTTTTTATATCGTGTAAGAAAGGGGTGCCCTTCCTTCCTTCCTTCCTTCCTTCCTTCTATTCTTCCTTCCTCCCCTCCCCTTCCCATTCCTTCCTTCCTTCTTTTCTTCCTTTTTTCCTCCCTTCCTCTCTCCCTT